GGAAGGAAGGAAGGAAGGAAGGAAGGAAGGAAGGAAGGAAGGAAGGAGAGAAGGAGGGAAGGGAGGGAGGGAAGGGAGGGAGGGAAGGGAAGGAGGGAAGAAGGGAGAGGGGAAGGAAAGAAAGAAAGAAAGAAAGAAAGAAAGAAAGAAAGAAAGAAAGAAAATACCAACTCAGCTTCTAGTCAGCAATATGTAAGAAATATCCTGACCTCAGAAGACCACTTATTAGCTAATGTTGGATTCTCAATCCACAGCTTCATAGACTTCTATTATACTTAGGCAAGTACCCAAAACAGAAGGGCCATTTGAACTAATCTTGTGCCTAGCTCAAGGGATGAGATAAATCCTTCATGAATCACCAATTTCTTAATATAAAGCCAACAGCATTCCTGCATGAAAAGGGCCAGGGGGAGATGCTGGAAGAACCTCCAGGGAGCTTTCATAAAATATGCTTGCCTTAAGCGATGAGACATTTACCTAGCAAAGTTTATTTCAGTGAACAAAAAGAACCTCGGAAAACTTCCTATTTTCCCAGGTGCTCTCATAGAAAATTTTCTCATCTGATCCTTCCAACAACCCTGGGAGGTAGGTAAGTGATACTCATTTCACAGATGAGGCAACCAAGACAAGAAGTAGTGAAGACTGTGCCCCGGGGTATTCCAGGACACTAAAGTGAGCTCACTGGGCTACAATAGAATATTTTAAATTTTCAAGGAAACCGCAGAAATATTCAGCATCTGTCAGACATACTTTGGGCTATACCAGTACCTTCTTATTTGGAGTGTCATATCTTTGTGATGCTAAGTTTTTGACAGTTTCTGTGATGAAAAGCAAACACCGTATGCAAATCAACATACAACAGGAAATGAGACTGGCAGCCTCCAAGCAAAGGATTGGTGGAATCTAAGCAGATTTAATAAGGTTTGAGTTGTACAGTGTCCAATAGATACACATTTCCCATTACTAGGCAATTGTAGTTAAGAATGAAAAAAAATATATATTGCTTTTCTTTGTTTATGAATATTATTTTTTCAAATGGTTACTAAGTTGTTAGGATATAAATACTTGTTAATTTGTTTGGATCTAACTACTTAATAAATGGAACTATTTGACATTTCTTTTGGCCTAGGGGCACTGTGAAAAAATCACTGAGACTCTAAAAGTGTCATGAACCAAGAAGGTTTGGGAACCTTTGGGTTAAGTGTTTGGCTGCACAAAGAGCTAACTGAGAGATACTTCCAGAGTTTTTGCCACTATACCATCTGTGCTTTACCAAAAGGTATTTTATTTGCTGGCCAGCCACTTGCTTCTAGGTGGCTCTACAGTCAAATCTTGGGGGTCTATAAATATGTAGAGACTGAAAACATGATAAAAGGAACCAAGGCCCAAAGCCAAATAGCAAAGGCCTAAAATTCCAAATTCTCCTCCCTCTCAAATGCCCCCCAAACTTAGTCAAATATATAAGAAATGAAATGAAGAAGAAAATCCTCTGACCTTTCCATAGTTCATACCATAGATGTTTCAATATAGTGAACCAAACTTTTTGATGCAACATCTAAGCTGAAAAAAAATTTTTTTAATTGGAACAGTAAGATTTCAGATTAGAAGAGACTTTGAAGATTTACTAATTCAGCCTCATTTTACAGATAAAGAAACTGAGTCCCAAACAAGTGAAATTGTTTGGTCATACAGCTAATGACCCAGCTAGGACTAGAACCAGGATCTCCTGACCTCCAGGCCAGGGAGTTTTCTACTACACCACCCTGCTTGCAATGAAAATCTCAGAATTCTAGCTAATTAACCTTAACTTTTTTTTCATATCTTAGTTTCTACTGACAAAGATTATACTCAAGTATCTAGAATGTAAACATGAAGCTTGATTTTTTTCCTTTATTTGTGGGAAATATAAAAATGTATACGTTTGTATATCCATATCCCCCTAAAAAATAACAACATATAAAACATGGGGGGAATCAAAGAATCCCATAGTATTTGTGTTTTTCCATAAATTAGAGAAAAGAACTGCACAAGATGAAAAGGTGCACAGATACTGCAGTCTTCATCAGTGGAGGGAGCACTTATACCAATGAAATTATAGATCAAAGCAACAAAGAGCAAAGCTAAGTTAAAGAGATAATTCTTATACCTGGAGACATGCACAACTTTTTTTTTTCAAAGAAAAGCTAAACAAAAAGAAAAAAAACCTAGAGTTCCAACATTCCTTCCTTCACAAAAAGGCATTGGGGGGAAAAAAAAACCACTGAGATCTACTCACCTTACAAATTGCACACATGCTTGTGTTCGTTCTTCAAACTGGCCCAAATGGAAGATAGCAGCTTGATGTTGTAAATGCAGATTATCCTATTGGAAAGAAAAATAGTTTCAGTAAATACTTTTCTCATCCCAAATATGAGATACTAAGAGTCTGAACAAGAGGTCCAATGGTACCCTTTATTCAATAGAAATCTGAATTTTTTTGTTTTGTAGAAGGAAGCTCATACAGTCCTATGAGTGATGGATAACTGAGAAGGAATAGGGTGGGGGAAGCTAAGTTTTGTGACTAGCTACAAAGCAGCTTACAGTGTTTATTTTCTATACACTACCTCTCACCCTTCTAAGAGATCTTCCTCCCACTTGGTGTTTCAAACATTGTCCAGTTCAATTTCACAGATATTTTTTATCATCATTATGCCCACTCAACATTTATTGAGCATCCACTGTGTACATCACACTGTAACTGGGTGCTGGGCACCATACTAGGTCCTCACTCCTCTGTTGCCTTTACTAAGCAGTTTCCAAGTAAACCCACTACCACTTTGCCTTGTATTCCACAGGCATCTCTCCCAGCACCCATCTCTGCCAATACGTAGGATTAAACTACTTTCCAAGGTTGAATAAGCCGCCATCTGTCTATCTTACGTGGTACTGTGTGCCATCCGGGAGACTTGCCCCTCGGAGCGTGTTTCTACCATATGTCACTCTCAAGTGATCAGCCAATGCCAAGACATCTGAATATAAATGTCTAAGTGTAGCCGGAAAACCCTCTTAGAATTCCAGTGGCGGTTCACCAAGGCCAGGTATGTCAAAATGACTTATTGTTTTTCTATAGCTCCACCTGAGCATCAATGGTGCAAAATTCACAAACATTTCTCTCCTCCCCACCCCCGTGCCCAGCAAGGGAAGAAAACAATTTAGTTTTTCTCTTTCAATGTACACTTTGTGCTCCTCCTCTGCAACCAGCTCAGTCAGTCCGTGTATGTTCCAAAGACTGCACCATTTCCTCAGAAGCAGAATTCAAAAAACCAGCCCACCATTCAGTGTAGTTACCAGCTATGTTGTAGTATACTTTAGATATTTACTTATATATTTTGAGAGAAGGGAAAAAAGAAAATAAAGTTTGAGGAGCTGAAGAAATTAGTTCTCTAGTAGATCAGAAATATTCCCCCATGAAACAGAGAGCGTCTGGCACATAATAGGCATTTAATAAATGCTTATTGACTGACGTCTACACTTTCTCATGTAGATTGACACCAAAAAAATCATGTCCTACTTCTGAAACATAAATTCTAATCCAATTGCCTAAAATTCCATTTCAGAAATAAAACTTTATTCAAAATTTAAAAATGGAATATTTTAAGCTATTTTAAGCATACTTTTTTTTTATTATTATTAAGCTCTGTTTAGAAAGACAAGTTAAACTGAAAGATGTACTCAGCTGTTTCTATGAGTTAGCTTTTCCCTCTAGGGTAAAATAAGAAATCTTGTGGGTTGGTTTTTAAAAAAAAATCATAAGTTAGTGAGGAAAAGAGACAAAGAAAAAGAGAGTAAAAGTTTGGACTGTCTTAGATTCCAAATGGTCTCCATCAAATCCAGATATTCAAAAGTATTCCAATTAGTCAAACTCCTTGTAAAAGAATAAAATGAAGACTCTATATTTATCTTCTCATAGAAAGTTGTCATGCTCCCTTGATATCTTTATTTAAGAATTTATGGTATATTCCTTCTTCCTCATAAATCACTCAGAAAACTTGAACACTCTCTGAAAGGTTTATCTGTGCTTTGGCTCCATCCCTCAAACAGCAGGATTCTAAGACTGGAGCCAAGAAAAACAACAAACACCAGTTGCATGACACACAAGCCAGTTAATTTCACCTTGATTTGACAAGCATTTATTAGGCACCCAATGTGCCAGGCACTGTGGTAATTATCAGGAATATAAAAACAAAAGCAAGGCATTTCTTATCCCCAAGGACCATATGTCTCCCATATATATTTTTATCATTCATGTGTCCTCCCCCCCAAAAAATGGTGGCTTAAAAATTCTCTTTCCCTCAGCCCTAGCAGTCAAATCACTTTCTATCATTCCACAAAATGTTGTGGAGCACAAAGATAATCCTGGAAAAAAAGGCCAATGATTTTGCTGTGCCACCAAAGGGAAACTGAGCATTTGGAAAGACAATTGACTTCACAGAAAGATGCTGAAGGGAATTAACAGATACTTTTAATGAAAGGTACCAGGTAAGTTGTACAAAATACTTAAAAAATGCTTAGAAGACTTGAAAACTGATAAAATATAGTGAGATGGTTAAACATGATTGATGTAGAGTTGGGAGAGCCCTGAGAGAGCATCTACTCTAATTCATTCATTTTACACATATGAAGAAATTGAGTTCTAGGGAGGAGAAGTGATAGGCCCACGGTGGCACTTTCTGTCTCGCCAGACCCCAAACTGCTTACTAGACAACTTTCATCCCTGTAAAGCTTATGGCACAATGTATGCTTTACTGTAATGTTGGGGTTCTAGAGGTAAGGCAAGAAAACACAGGAGACACTGGACTTAAAAACAGTCATCTCAAAACCTTCCCTCAAATCAATGTAGGAAATGGCTGGATTCCAGTCAAGGGTAGGGGAAGACCATAGGAGGAAATAAGGAAAAGGTGTTCCTAATTATCACCAAATAAGTATCCTAGTGTACATATGTGTATGCACATTCAAAGAGGAAGGAAAAATCATATTTGAGATAATCGGAAAAGAAAATCCTTAGCAACATTCTTCCATCCCTCCTGTGAAACAGAAATCCTTGCAATCAATTAATCAACATATATTAAATACCTACTTTGTGCCAGGCATTGTGTTAAGTGCTGGGGATGCAAAAAGAAGCAAAAGACAGTCCTTGCCCACAAAAAGCTTACAATCTAATGGGGGAAGACAACATGCAAACAAATATCTACAAACTGAGCTATATACCGAATAAATATGAAATGATTAAAAGAGGGAAGGCATTAGAATTAAGAGGGGTTTGGGAAGGCTTCCTATAGAAGGTGGAATTTTAGTTGGGCCTTACAAGAAGCCAGGGATATCAGTAGCTGGGGTGGAGGAGGCAGAACATTCCAGACACAGGGGACAGCCAGAGAAAATGCCCAGCATTGAGAGATGGAATATCATGTTCATGGAACAGCCAGGAGGCTAGTGTCACTGGATTAAAGAGTATATGTTGAGGACTAAGGTGTAAGAAGACTGGAAAGATAGGAGGGGCTAGGTTATGAAGAGTTTTGAATGACAAACAAAACATTTTGTATTTGTTCTTGGAGGCAATAGGAAGTCATGAAAGTTTATTGAGTAGTGTAGAGGAAGGATGACATAATTGGACCCGGATTTTAGGAAAATCACTTTAGTGGCTGAATAGAGGATGGATTGGATTAGACAGAGACTTGAGGCAGGCAGACCAATCAGTCTATACAATAGACAGGCTATTGTAATCAAAGCAGGAGGCCTGCACCAGAGTGGTGGCAGTGTCAGAATGAGAGAAGGGAGTACTCTCAAGACATGTTACAAAGGTGAAATCAACAGGCCTTTGCAATTGCTTGGATATGGGCAATGAGAGATAATGGGGAATCCAGGATGACTCCTAGGTGGTGAATCCCAAGGGATTAGGGAAAGGGTGTTGCCCTTAATAGTAATATGGAAGGTAAAACGGGGAAGGTTTAGGGGAGAAAGATAATAAGTTCTGTTTTGGACATATTGACTTTAAGATGTCTATTGACATCCAGTTCAGGATGTCTGAAAGGCAGTTGGAGATGCAAGATTGGAGTTCAGAAGAGATAGATTTGAAAATCATTAGCATTGTTTGTTTTAGTCATTTTCAATTATGTCTGACTTTTTGTGAACCCTTTTGGGTTTTCTTGGCAAAGATACTGGAGTGGTTTGCCACTTCTTTCTCCAGCTCATTTTACAGATGAGGAAACTGAGGCAAACAGGGTTAAGTGACTTGCTCAGCGTCACACAGTTAGTAAGTATCCAAGATTGGATTTGAACTCAGGTCTTCCTGACTCCAGCCCTGGTACTCTATCCACTATACCACCTATCAGCATAGTAATTAGATCCATGGAAGTTGATGAGATCAACAAGTGAAATAGTATAGAGGAAGAAGAGAAGAGGGCCCAGAACCCTGAGGGACACCTATGGCTAGAGGGCATGATCTGGAGGAGGAGCCAGCAAAGGGAAGAGAGAGAGAGAAGGAGCTATCAGAAATATAGGAGGAAAACCAGGAGAGAATAGTGTTGTGAAACAGTAGCGGGAAGAGAGTATCAAGCAGAGAGTGATTGACAGTGTCAAAGGCCGCAGAGGTCAAGGAGAATAAAGACTAAAAAAAAGGCCATTGGATTTAGCAACTAAGAGATCATTGGAAAGAGCAGTTTTGGTGGAATAATAAATCCCAAATCAGGCTGTAAAGGATTCAGAAGAGAGTGAGAGGAGAGAAAGTATAGGTTCCTATTATAGTTGACCTTTAACTACAAAAAGGAGAAGAGATATAGCATGATAGCTAGCAGGATCAAGTGAAGGTTTTCTGAGGATAGGGGAGACACTGGCATGGTTGTAGGCAGTAGGAAATGAGCCTGTACAGAGGAAAAGATCAAAAATAAGTAAAAGTGAGGATCACAGAGGGGACAATTTGTTGGAGGAGCTAGAATGTGATGGGATCACTTGAACAAATACAGGTAAGAAGTAAACCTTGGGAAGAAATGAGGCCATTTCATCATGTGAAATGGGTAAAGGAGGAGAAAGTGGCAGACGGCACCTGAATGGTAGGAGATGAGGGAAGAGAGGAGAAGAGGGAATTCCAGTGAATGACCTCATTTTTCTGTAAAATATGAGACAAAGTTCTCAGCTGAGGTGATGTCTTGTGAAGTATAGGTATTTAGGAAATTACTATTCAATCTTAAAATAGCAAGAAAGAATAAACAATTGAAATTATAAACTGGAGATGAGAGAGTGAAGAGAAAGAGAGAGAATGAGAATTAAACTGGGAAAAATACTTGGGCCTAAAGAAAGAGGGTAGAAAGAAGAAAAATAATCAAGAA